TCGGTTTGCAGTCCTGGAGTAGTAGGCGTCATCGCAGCGTCCCCCCATACGGCCTGGCTTTACTCTTAGGTTGTGAACGGCGCTAGTGCAGCCGCGGGAGGGGAAAGGGGGCATTGTTAAACCTACCGATCTGCATGAGCGTTAAATGCCGCCCCATTGTTCGTATACCACCTTTCTTGGCCGATTTGATCCCACGGGTGGAGGTGGACCCGTAGTGTTTCGTGGATTTCACTTTCGGTCTCCTGATTGTCGCACCTGGTCTCTATTTTCTGCCCAGCTGAAGCGGTCGCAAATGATCTTCATAGCGACAATAGCTCAGGCCGTAGAGCGCCCAGCCTATGGAGTAGAGGTTCGGCGTTCTGATTTTGTTTCACTGCAACGGGGATTTTCTTGATTCCCTGTTGTCTACTGTAGAGCCCATCTGCTTGTTCTGGTCATTCGGTTAGTCATACCACCTTTCCTAAACTGGGCCCGACAAAAACCCATCCTGCGCACACGTGGACTGTCTAGGTAGGAAATTTAAGCGACCAGTCACCAACGTCTGCCTGCTTTCCGGGTGGCGATATGACAAACCAGACAACTTTGAAGTCTGGTTCTTTCATCCTGCTCAGAAGATACCGGAACCGCGAATAAAACGGCATACGTCAAGGAAATCAGCACATTACAGACCTTGGGGTTGCCGGTTGTTTTTACATCGTTGGTCGTTTGTACAAGTGTTTGACACCGGATAGGGGACTCTACAGAAAATACAAGGAAAAGAGAGTCAAGCCTCAGTCCTATACATCTACTGCTAGCGTGCTAGAAACGTAATCCTGCGCATTTTTGTTGAGCGGTGCACGCATCTCTGGGTGGCTATCAACGGGGCCATTTTAGGCGGTCGGCCACTACGGGATATAGATGCCGCATGTCACCGCTTCTTCTGGGGCTCCTATGATGACCTTCTCTTTGAGTTCGGTGTCAGTAGGCGCACCTTCATTGCAGTATTATTAATCAGCAAACAATTGCAGTTTGCAGTTAGTGCATACTTTCACGGAATTATCCTCAGGGGAATCAACCCTCACTGCTACATTTGTAGCCTACATAGTACAAAAAGCATCCCCGTATCCGAGGATGCTCTACTAAGAGTGTGATCGCCAAATCAAGAAATATCCTATTCACCGCTCATTTGCTACAGTGCATAACGTACGGTAGAAGACATGGCGTTAAATACGACGAGGAAATCACACCGAATTGTCACTTTTGGTATAGGCGATCAGGTTGTTCGTTTTTTGTCACTGACGCCGACATTGATCTCCTTCTGCTCTCTTTTCCAGGGAACAAGAAAAGTCTTTTCGGTGAAAGTTCAATTTAGGGTACCAAACAGCACATGCAAACCCCATCCTTCTGTAATAAGGGTCAGGTGCTAATAAGGGTTAAATAGGTGGGTTGCATCAGTATAAAGAAAAACCAAAGAAGTAAAGCGTATAAAAGTGGAAAATAATTGGAATACTTATTTCAATAACCGAATATTTGGGCGCAATGGCCCAATACCACCCAATTGTATTGGGCCATTATAAATATCGCGCGAAAATAATCGGTTATTCAAATAAGCTGTTTGGAGCCCTAAATTAAACTTTCCTCGTATTTTTCCCTTCAATAGAAGACGTCAAAACTCTTTCCCCTAAAATAACCGACCACAGACAATTTAACAGTTTGCCACTTGTACAATCGATCGGTTGCATCTAATTTCAAATTTATACAAAACCCCACTGGTTCCTTTAACTTAATACGCAGCGATAAGTGCACTTGTATAGTCTTAGTGTCTGTTTGTAGTACGTGTTCTATATAGAACCCTGCACTTGTGCTAGACGTCGGTTGGACCACTGCGAACCACGATATCCATCTTGTGCCCTGCAGTACGGTCGAAGCAGTGACAGTGACTCCCGCGTGCATTGGTTTTTATTAATTGCAGACTTGCACAGCACCTGCCACACTCCTTCACTCCCTCGGCCCTCGGTGGCAAAGCACAGTCGGGGTAGTGGGCACACATATACCTGCTTACATAGTTGTAATCTATTGTTTAAACAGGAAGGACATGTAAAACTCTTGTACACCCCAGTCTTACTTTCGTCAGTAGGGTTTTAACCTACTCTTATCTGTTCAGGCATTGTTTTGTAATTGTATAAACTTGGGAATGGAGACAATTGCAAAATGCGAAAAAGCATGGTTGTAAGTTTTTGGTCAGCAATGTTCCGGTAGTATTTTGACTTTACTTCGATCGGAATGCGTCCGGCCTATGGCTTCACTGCTGTCATTCGTCCCGTGCGGATTGATAGGAGAAGTAAGTGTGAAGTTCTTCCTCAACCCTATTTTTGCTCTTCTTATGCGTTGCGTGGAATCCGAGTGAACGGCCAAGTGTGCACCGTGTACGCTGCGAAACTTGCGTCGATCTCCTGCCTGGCCACTTACCTACAGACACCTTTAGAAGCAGTTCTTGCATTTTGGTTGGTTCTGTGTCGTACTGTTCGTAGGTTTTTCGAACCGTTTTGAAATTCTGCCCGCGTTGCGTACAGGACCCTCTGACCAGGCGCAATAACCTAGATTCAATTAACAGTTCACTTCTACTGTGGCAGCCTCTTGGCAAGGTGCGCAGTTGTCTTATTTTCACTGACATTTCAGATATATATTTTTTAATTTAAAGAAAGAGATCAAATTTTTCTCAAATGCCCTTTTGTCAAAGTTAAGCGCATCCTAGATTTCTGAGTTCTTTACGGTAAATTTTCAGTTTGATTCAAAGCATTGTCTGCTAAAACTACCGATAAAAACTATATGTCTTAATATTACAATTTAAAGTTGTAGTTACACTAACAGTAGAGCTGCTAATCTGTTTCCTACCTGATGCTGTCTCTGCTGATGGGTTAGAACATGAATCTAAATCGTTATGTGAGCCAATTATGTCTCATAGTTTGTCATGGGACGTTGTGTTTTTCTGGACATTTCACATCGATCCCTCGATGCGTTCTCCTGAGCCCTTTTTGGAGCTTATGCACGCCCCTGAGTCCTTCCTCGAGCATAAAGTCTACGCCCGAGCCTCATTTAATAGTGCCCGAGATGTTAGTGACTTTTTCGAATATACCAAGACTGGGAAGGCA